CCTACACTGCCATATAAAATGGATTATCTGCTTTAGTAATCTGGATTATATGACTGTAGAAGAAGCCTGAAAATTTTGGTATCATAATGCATGCCTCCCTCATGCAAACAGCACTTTCCTATCCCTTCATAACAGGGATTTTCCTTTGACCAGAAAAGAGGACGAAGGGGTTAAACTTCCCTTGACTGTTTGCCTTACTTCTGATTAATTTTTATTTTTGAATAATTTATGCATTAAATGCAGAAGTGCATAAAACATCATGCACAGTTTAGGTCTTAGTATCAGTTTTTGGGCTGGCCTTGTCAGTGCAAGACTTCTCTTGCATTGAGCCTCTGTACATAATCAATTATTTCGGTATACTGATGTTCGTGTTATTGTGCTGCGCCTCCCAGTGGCCAAAGATTGCAAGGATCCAAATTATGAGCTGATTGTAGTCAATTATTCTTCAGGGCTGTAAAATCAATCTCAGTTTCTCCTGTTATGAAGGAAATACTTCTCTTTGAGGGTTACGGTTAGGGTTAGGGTTAGGGTTAGTGACCATAGGGAGATTATAAATATCTGGCCTGGGATTTCTCACATTACTGTAGTGCAATAATAACTCACTGAGTGTTGCAGATAACACATGACAGATAATCAGACCACTGATTAAAGACTTCAGTTGAAATGATAAATATATTCATTTTTATGGGGTTGGGCCTGGATCATTAATTGTGGTCTTTCATTCTTATTTCCCCACTCCCCCACACCCCCCCACCCCACCCCAAGAAGAACAGATTTTAGCACAAGTTGAGTATCCCTTATCCAAAATGCTTGGGTCCAGAAGTGTTTTGGATTTTGGAATACATGCGTATACAGGCAGTCCCCAAATAATGAACAAAGTAAGTTTTTTAGGTCTGTTGTTAAGTTGAATTTATATGTAAGTCAGAACAGGTACATCTTTAAAGTGTAACTCCAGCCAAATATATATATTACCTTTGGGTAGCATAGGGAAGGATTAACATCCTTGTGATTTTTGTTTTGCTGTCTGTTCCCTTGTTCAAAGGATTTCACTTCACTTTCTGTCCCCATGATAAGTGGATTTTGAGAAAATTGGCTTGTGGAAACAAGGATTGGTAATAAAGCTTGCAGTGGAGACACCTTTCCCCCATGATAACTATTTCAGGAGAGAATTTCCCTTCCAAGGGGTAGATTTCTCTCACTTCCTGTCATCTCACCCCATTTGTAACTTTAAGTCATTTGTAAGTCGGATGTTTGTAACTCTGGGACTGCCTGTACATAATGAGATAGCTTGGAAATGGAACTGAAGTCTAAACATGACATTCACCTGAAGGTAATTTTATAACCAGTATTTGTAAATTTTGTGCATGAAACAAAGTGTGTGTATATTGAACTATCAACAAGCAAAGGTTTCAGCCATTGATGGGGACAGTTTTGGATTTTGGGAATTCTGGATCAGGGATGTTCAACATGTATTTATAATAGAGAGAAATCACTACAGTTTTCAAGCATGCAATCCACTTTTTCAGCTTATTTAGTAAGCATATACGTAGGTAGTGTTTTCTAATTAAACAAACATGATTAAGTGATATACTTGTCGATTTACTACACTGTTTCAGGAACTTGTGAATATAATTTTATGTAGGAGAACCACTGACCTTAATGAGTAAAGCTCCAGTGCCTACTGAAACAACCAACATTTTGGTCTATTAATCCAGGTTAGATTGATTCATTATTTCAGGCCTGTACTTTGTACTCTTATAATGAGCTTACTTCATTTTAGAGACTGCATTATCCTGAACATCAACTGCAGTTATGAAATGAGATTAGTTGAGTGGATTAAAAAGATGAAACAGCAGCCTTTAATAATAAATCTTGCCTGCTGCTAAAGTGGAGCTTTGCTGAGATTGGACATGCAGAGGAATAGCAATAACAAAAGCGAGTAGAAATTTAGTGAATAAACATACTGTTCCTTTGTTTCTTCCCAAAGGGTGCATAGTTGTTTTTGAGATCTTTGTCAAGTTCCTTGCTTAGATCACAACATCCAGAATCTTATGTGCAGTATAGCCAAGCTCTGCCTTATTCTTTGTCAAAATGCATAGGGATAAAGAAGACTCAGGTATTTAGGATAAGTTAATTTTATAGTTGACTGGATGGACAACAAACTTTCCTAACTTAGTTTGCACAAGTTTTGGGGTGGGGTGGGGTGGGGAATTCCAGTTTTCTGCTAAGACATATGAGTAGTTTTGATGTTAAATCTGTGAGCATTTGTTGTCTTGGAATTGGAGATGGTTATTAATTCAATTTGAGATGTGGATTTGCTCCAAAGGTACTTTTTACAAGAGGAAGGTGCTTACACAAACAGTTTGTGCAGAGTGAGTGTTTCATTTCTGTCCACTGCTTGCTTCAATCATAGCACACTGTGCTGTAACCCCATATTTGGAAGGTCACCTTTGCCTTGTCTGTGTTTGGATGTCTCATTGTATATGACTGTTAAGGCATTGAATCTTTGCCTATGTCTCTGAGAAGGGTGAAATATAAACAAAGTGTATTCTTAATAGGGTGTTGTAGATTTTTCGAGCTACATGGCCATGTTCTAGAAGCATTCTCTCCTGACATTTCGCTTGCATCTATGGCAAGCATCAGGAGAGAATGCTTCTACAACATGGTGTCATGAATGACTTTTCAATGACTTTGGAGCATAAGTTCTTTTTATTGCATTTTCCAGTGGGAGAAGGTATATTAGATTACAGAAAACATTTAGACAAAGAATGACATTGGACATACAGACATACAGATTCTATGCAACTATATTGGATTCACAATTACATTAACAAACAAACAAAGGGGAATTACATTTTCACTCAACATTCACACCACATGTACACACATTCATCCTCAGACATTCAAGTATTACCATATCCTTTTCTCCCTCCTTGGAGAAGCACCTGTTAGGCCAGACCCTGCTTTCCTGCAGCCTGCCAGTGCATAGTTCCATAACGCCAAAACTTCAAAACTTCAAAATGCCAAAACTTCTTTCCCTAAGGACAATGCCAAGGACCAGATCTCTGTTTTCCATACAGCAGAACCTGACTCCCCGCACAAAATCCAAGACTCCAAAAGTGCACTTCTTCCTCTTCCCTTGAGAAAGAATGCCAAAGTGACCAGACTGTTCCCGTGCAAATCTGCCACTCTCCGAATACATCATCTCTCTCCTTCCCATGGAGGAGAGCATGACAGGTGAAACAGACTCCTCGGTCTGCCACAATTTGATCATTATTACACTGAGTCTTTTATAGGAATATTCTGTTGATGTAGTCCCAAAGTTTTAAATTAATGATAAACGTCTTCCATCCTGACTTCATCCCAGTTTCCTGGCCAGATATTGATCTTCTTGATTGGTGTTGATCTTATGTTGACTTCCTTCTTAACACAAGTAATGCTGCAAACATTTCTGTTATCACTGTCCCAGTTCTTATCAGGGTTTCTCATTAGCAAGTCCAGCAAGCAGGTAGTTAGTCATTGCAGGCCTTGATATTACACTGGTGTTTCCAAAATTATTAGCTCCATCCATACATCCTTCCATTCTTCCATTCATTCACACACATCATATTAAATTCACATTTATCAAATTTGCACATCGAATTTCTTATTACAGTGGCCGTATAGCCCAAAAAACCTACAACAACCTAATGGTTCCAGCCATGAAAGGCTTCAACAATGTATTATTATTATTACTACTACTACTACTACTACTACTACTACTATTAAAATCAATTTGAAGGCCAGGAAAACCTCATTGCTTAGGTATAAAGATTAATTCTCTGAATCCTGTCCAGCAAGTGTCACAAATTTACATTATAGGCATGCTTACAATTACTGTGATTCATCTTAGAACATACCTTTTACATCAGTTGGCTCATAACATAAGAAAGATATCTACTATATGTCCCATTTTGTATTTTATTGTTTGGGATTATATTCTTGTCACTTCTTGTGTGACATCACAGAACTGCTGCATTGAAAGTTTCAGGGAAAAACCTGTCTCAAGTAGAAATCTAATGTACTGAGATTCTTGGTCAATAGAAAGTAACCATACAATATAATATCCCTTCTTTTGCAAGGCAAATTAACTGAAGGAATTAATCTTACAAGGTTGGTTGGATTCTTTTTAATAGTTACAGTGGCCTAGAAGCACAGTTAGATTGTATGGTTACTTTCGGAAGCCATAACCTTACCAGTATATATTTTGTTGTGGGCATTACAGATATGTTCCAGGATTTCCTCTTTTTTTCTTTTTGGACATTTACCAAGAAGGAAAAATGTTCTATTGCTTAAACAAAAAGAAATGAGATTGGGAAAGTTTGGTGGACATAAGACAAGATCTTGATGTATGCTTTGAGTAGATCCATTGAAATCAGTGGGACTTACATTAGTCATAATTAACTTATGTTGTTCATGTTAGAGGCCAATTCAAAGTATGAACTATGAAAATAGTATTAAATGTCTAGAGTTGGTATGAATATGTTTAGGAAAGTGTTTTGTGCAGCTCTTTGAATATACTGGCCTAAGTATTGCTTGTGCAATGCCTTAATACATGGGATTAGGTTAATAATTTATTCTTTCAAGGAACCTCATACCACAATTGAGAGTGGGGGGAAGCATGCAAAATAATCTTTGTGTGGCGTTGTGTGATGTTCCATTTTAAAAGGATTCGGAGAACTTGGTAACCCCCATCACACGCGATCACCCGCTCCAATTTCTAGATTAATCATCTATTTTATTTCCCACCACTGGGGAGGGGGGAGTATAGTCTCCTCACAGTTCTTCCCTCTTACATTTTGTTATTTAATGGAAAACTTAATAATTGCAGAAAATTTATCTCGTGAGATCTGAGAACAAGATTTCAAAAATTTGGGAGGCTGTGGAAGACATTAAAACTTAGAATAATGTCTTGTATTCCATTTTTTAAAATATTTAATAATGTTACTTTTTCCCATTAGAAAACCGAAGAAACTGTAGATATAATACTGTTGGGTAACAAGTGTGATAAGGAGATGGAACGTGTAATCCCCAAAAACAGAGGGGAGAAGGTAAGCACTGCTCACAAGTACTCTATAGATATTTAAGAATACACGATAAGAAGAGATACTATGGATTTCCATTTTTATAATTATAGAAAATTAGTTTGTACAGAACGGTTACATATGTTTATAACATTAGCGTTATGCTTGGCTAATAGTAACAGCAAACACTTATGGAACACATTCTGCCTTACAACATATTTTTTCTTCATTTTGATGCTTTAAAAATCTTGAATCTTCATTTTTTTCAGAAAAACAGATTTTAGTAAACAGATTGAATATTCCTTATACACATTGCTTGGGATTATTATTATTATTATTATTATTATTATTATTATCAAAGTGCTACAATACAATTTAAAATATGCAAATATTAAAATAGTATTAAAATCATTAGTATTAAAAACGAATCAGTTAAATCCATAAAAAGATTTTAAAAAGCAGCAGCCCCTGACCTGATCTTTAAAATCTTCCTTTTAAAGTCTTCCTGAATGGAAAGGTTTTGACCTGCCACCGGAGGGGACCATTCTGGCTTCATGGGCAGGAAGTTCCAGATTTGAGGGGCTCTCTCATTCCCACCAACCAAGTTTGAGATGAAGGGGGGACTGAGAGAAGGGCCTCTCCTGAAGATCTCAGGGCAAGTTCACACAAGAAGATGTGGCCAGCCAAATAGCCTGGACCTAAGCTGTATAGGGCTTTAAAAGTCATAACCTGCACTTTTATTTGTGCCCAGAAACAAACTGGCAGCGAGTGGAGCTGCTGCAATGGGGGGGGGGAGGGGTTGTCCGTTCCCTGTAGCAAGCAACTGTAACAACCTGGATGCAACTCTTTGGACCAGCTGAAGTTTTCGAGCACTCTTTAAAGGCAGACCCACATAAAGTGTGTTACAGTAATCCAGATGGGATGTGACTAAGGCATGTACCATCGTGACCAGATCTGGCTTCTCAAAGAATGGGTGCAGTTGGCGCACAACTTTTAATTGTGCAAAGGTCCTCCCAGCCACCACAGATACCTGGGCCTCCAGAATCATCCCTGAATCTGGGAGGATCCCCAAACTATGAATCTGTGTCTTCAGGGGGAATGTAACCCCATCCAGCACAGGCTGGATCCCTATTCCCTGATCTGCCTTCCAACTGACCAGAAGCACCTGTATCTTGTCTGGATTAAATTTCAGTTTGTTTGCCCTCATCCAGTCCATTACTGGATGACAGACACGTGTTTAGGGTCAGGACAGCTTCCTTGGCTTTAGGTGGGAAGAAGTAGTAGAGTTTGGTGTCATCTGCATATAATAATAGGTACTACTACTACTACTTTATTTGTAGCTTGCCCTATCTCTCCGAGGGGAGTCAGGGCAGCTTCCAATATAATAAAGGCAAACATTCATTGCCTGTATGTAACATGTTAACAACAACAATGAATTATAGGTAGTACTACACTCCAAAACTCCAGATGACCTCTCCTGCTCTCCCAAATGACCTCTCCCTTTCATGTATATGTTAAATAGAATGAGGGACAAAACATAACCCCGAGGAACCCCACAGGCCAATGGCCAGGGGTTTGAACAGGAGTACCCCAGGACCACCTTCTGGGTATGGCCCTCCAGGAAAGACCAGAGCCACTGTAAGAAAGTGCCTCCCAGTCCCATCCCAGCAAGATGACCCAAAAGAATACTGTGGTCTATGGTATTGAAAGCTGCTGAGAGTTCCAGGAGATTCAACAGGGACACATTTGTCCTCTCGGCGTAGGTCAACCAGCAAAGCGACCAAAGCTGTGTCTGTTCCATAGCCAGGCCTGAAACCAGATTGGAATGAGTCTCCATTTCATCCAGAAATCCCTGGAGTTGGGAGGCCACCACACGTTCCAAAACTTTGCTCAGAAAGGGAAGATTGGACACTGACTGACAGTTTTAAATTATAGAGGGGTTCAGGGATGGCTTTTTAAATATGGGTCTCACAACTGCCTCCTTTAGACAAGTTGGAATTTGCCTTGTTCCAAGGAGGCATTGATCACCACCTTCACCCACTCTGCCAGTCCCCCTCTGGCCTGTTTGATCGCCATAAAGATCTAGAATACATGTGATAGCTCTCACCTCTCCAAGAATCCTGTCCACATCCTCAGACTGCACAAATTGAAAGGTATCCATCACTACTGGACAAGCAGGAGCCAGAGTTACATCCGTTGGAACCGTATCAATAAGCATCCAAATCAGAACAGATCTGATCGACTTTATCTGCAACGTGCCATGCAACTTCTTCACAGTGGGCTGTAGAATGGTCAGAATTTTCTCCTTGAGGACCAGTATGTAATAGTCCTCTGACCACTTGAAACAACTCAACTGGATGGTTCAGGATAAGAAGTATTTCTGATTTTGGAAAGTTTGCATATACATAATGACATATCATGAAGATGGGACACAATTCTAAACACATTTGATGATTTTACTGGCTTTATTTTATTTATTTATCCAATTGGCACATACATTCATAATGTAAAAAGAAGGGGGTACAAAAAAAACCTCCATTGTATTCATTCTTCATATAACAGCATGCCCCCTTTCCCTTTTACTATACAGAGAGCAATTTTTTCAAGGGCGTTATACATGATGTAATAATGTAATCTCTTTTCCCTGTGCGGGTTTTTGTGACTGACCTTAAGAATAAGTCACAAGTAATTGTGAATTGTAAAAAGATGCTTGTTATAAGGTACTGAGTGTGTTAAGATATACTGCACATGAAATCATTGAAGAGCATCATTTTAAAAAAAATCTCCCTTTTGTAGAATAAAAGATTTTCTTTGTATATTTTGTGTCCACCCCTATACACCTGGAATACAGCAAAATGAACTTTTATTTGTTTATTTGATAATACAGGCTTTCTGGAAAAGTCAGAGAAACTGCATTTCTTGAACAATAGTTTGTGATTAATAGAGAACTACAAGCTATCATGATGAATATTCACAAGGGGGCAGTGTTGAGTGTCACACTACCTGGCTTCTGAATATTTCAGTTCTTTTTTCAATTATACAGTTAACAGAGTAATGTTTGATTAATAGAATAAATCAATAGCTGCCTCCTCATTGCTCAGCCTTCTTTCTGTTTCCTTGGTTACCAAATTGGTCATCTATTCTTTTGCCAGAGTATGAGAAATTCTGATATCTGGCTATTGGTAAAATTTTAGAAAGTAAAACAATTTGATACTGTCCACTTGCTCAAATATTACTAAAAATAAGCTTGTATATCAGTCATACTAATGAATAACATGTTGCTCACAGTGCATTATAAAGTGCTAATAGTAAGTAAAAGCCCTGTATCCTGGGAATGAACTATGTAATTTGAATTCTGAGGAATCCTCATTCTTTCATTGGACTGTTGAAGGTAAAAAATAATTTATAGTACTACCTGAGTTTGGATGCCATTAGAGATATATGAGGCTGGTTTGCTCTTGCTTTGTGACAGCTGCCACCAACACAAAACTACTTATAGATGGAGTGGGCAAGATGAACTAATTCAGAATAAACTGAAAAAAAACTTTTTATACACACAATAGAACAACTGTCCTGTCCAAACTAGTACAATTTTAGTCATGTTTACAATCATTTAACAATACAGGTAATGTCATGGCACAGACCTGATCATAATTGAATGATATGTCACTGAGGGCCCATCCACACAGGGCCCAAAATGCGGGCCTTCTCAGACTTTTACCGGAGGCATCCAAATGATGTCTCAGGCAAAAGTGAATTAATTTGGGATAAAGCCTACTTTGTCTTAAATTAATTAGGTACTGGATTAGTCCCAGATCTTCCTGAAAGACCTGGGTCTAATCCCGTATGGGCCCTGTGGGGAGTGCCCCCTCAGAAACTCTGGGACTTCTGAGGGGGCAGTCCACACAGCCCTCTCTTGCATTTTCTGGCCTGAATCCATCCAGAAAACCGAGAGGGCTGCAACACCCCCCAACACCCCCCTTTAAAACCCCTTAAAATTAAAAATAACTTACCCAGCCATCATTACCCTGGTGGTGGAGCTCTCCTGGCATGTAGAAATGACATGTCAGAGGAAGTGGGATGAGGAGGAAAATCGTTCCCTCTCCCTTCTCCTGGCGCATTATTTCTGTTCACCCACAGAGCTCCGGCACCAGGATAATAGGCGGCTGGATATGTTATTTTTTGTTTTTAAGGCTTTTTTTGGGGGGGGGAGTTCTTTGGTGTCTGGGTGCCCTGCTGGAAGGTCTGGCAGGGCATCTAGACCCCCCCCCCCAGAAAAGCATGGGTTTTGTGAGGAGGTGTGTGGACTTCAAACCACGGCCAACAGGGGTTTTCTGATTGGGCGTGGGTTAAAGTCCTGTCTGGAACTGGCCAGAATGTTACTCACTTGCTCCCCACTAAGTACCTAAACAAACCACTGACCTTTACTGTGTTTTTGGCTCATCTTGTCATCTGGTAATGGGCAGCATCTCTTTTCCTGACCAACCAGAGAAAGAGGGAAAACCCCAGGATTTTTATCTTTAGTTGTTTGGAAAAGAAACCAAACAGAAAATGTAAGCTGGCCACACAAACACATAGTAAACTATCTGTGGAGTAAAGCTCCATGGTTTGTTTAGCCATTGTGAACTGCTGAGCACGATTCACCAGCACAATAATCCATACCACAAATATCTTAACACACAAGGTGCTCTCTGCTTGCTTGATTATCTACACCAGTGGTTCTCATCCTGTGGGTCCCCAGGTGTTTTGGTCTACAACTCCTAGGAATCCCAGCCAGTTTGCCAGCTGTTAGGATTTCTGGAAGTTGAAGGCCAAAACATCTGCGGACCCACAAGTTGAGAACCACTTACCTACAGAGTACTCCTGTAGATCTCCACTCCACACACACACACACAAATACACGCATACTTCCTGTGCTTTCATAAATACATATGCATGCTTCTCCCCTTTCTTTAATTTGCATCTCCTTATCATTTTCCATCATTTTCAAAAGTCATGTACTGCTTCACATAGAAATACCTCCATAT